ATATAGCCGACTAGCCGAGACTCTTCTTTATGTGTACAGATGTGACGTGATGACTCAATATAGCCGACTAGCCGAGACTCTTCTTTATGTGTACAGATGTGACGTAATGACTCAATATAGCCGACTAGCCGAGACTCTTCTTTATGTGTACAGATGTGACGTGATGACTCAATATAGCCGACTAGCCGAGACTCTTCTTTATGTGTACAGATGTGACGTGATGACTCAATATAGCCGACCAGCCGAGACTCTTCTATATGTGTACAGATGTGACGTGATGACTCAATATAGCCGACCAGCCGAGACTCTTCTTTATGTGTACAGATGTGACGTGATGACTCAATATAGCCGACTAGCCGAGACTCTTCTTTATGTGTACAGATGTGACGTGATGACTCAATATAGCCGACCAGCCGAGACTCTTCTATATGTGTACAGATGTGACGTGATGACTCAATATAGCCGACTAGCCGAGACTCTTCTTTATGTGTACAGATGTGACGTGATGACTCAATATAGCCGACCAGCCGAGACTCTTCTATATGTGTACAGATGTGACGTAATGACTCAATATAGTCTTCTAGCCGAGACTCTTCTTTATGTGCACAGATGTGACGTAATGACTCAATATAGTCTTCTAGCTGAGACTCTTCTTTATGTGTACAGATGTGACGTAATGACTCAATATAGCCGACTAGCCGAGACTCTTCTTTATGTGTACAGATGTGACGTAATGACTCAATATAGTCTTCTAGCCGAGACTCTTCTTTATGTGCACAGATGTGACGTAATGACTCAATATAGTCTTCTAGCTGAGACTCTTCTTTATGTGTACAGATGTGACATAATGACTCAATATAGCCGACTAGCCGAGACTCTTCTTTATGTGTACAGATGTGACGTAATGACTCAATATAGTCTTCTAGCCGAGACTCTTCTTTATGTGCACAGATGTGACGTAATGACTCAATATAGCCGACTAGCCGAGACTCTTCTTTATGTGTACAGATGTGACGTAATGACTCAATATAGTCTTCTAGCCGAGACTCTTCTTTATGTGTGCAGATGTGACGTAATGACTCAATATAGCCGACCAGCCGAGACTCTTCTATATGTGTACAGATGTGACGTAATGACTCAATATAGCCGACTAGCCGAGACTCTTCTTTATGTGTACAGATGTGACGTAATGACTCAATATAGCCGACTAGCCGAGACTCTTCTTTATGTGTACAGATGTGACGTAATGACTCAATATAGCCGACTAGCCGAGACTCTTCTTTATGTGCACAGATGTGACTTAATGACTCAATATAGTCGACTAGCCGAGACTCTTCTTTATGTGCACAGATGTGACGTAATGACTCAATATAGTCTTCTAGCCGAGACTCTTCTTTATGTGCACAGATGTGACGTAATGACTCAATATAGTCTTCTAGCCGAGACTCTTCTTTATGTGCACAGATGTGACATAATGACTCAATATAGTCTTCTAGCCGAGACTCTTCTTTATGTGCACAGGTGTGACGTAATGACTCAATATAGTCGACTAGCCGAGACTCTTCTTTATGTGCACAGATGTGACGTAATGACTCAATATAGTCTTCTAGCCGAGACTCTTCTTTATGTGCACAGATGTGACATAATGACTCAATATAGTCTTCTAGCCGAGACTCTTCTTTATGTGCACAGATGTGACGTAATGACTCAATATAGCCGACTAGCCGAGACTCTTCTTTATGTGTACAGATGTGACGTAATGACTCAATATAGTCTTCTAGCCGAGACTCTTCTTTATGTGCACAGGTGAGACGTAATGACTCAATATAGCTGACTAACCGAGACTCTTCTTTATGAGCACAGATGTGACGTAATGACTCAATATAGTCTTCTAGCCGAGACTCTTCTTTATGAGTACAAATGTCACTTAATGACTCAATATAGCCGACCAGCCGAGACTCTTCTTTATGTGCACAGGTGTGACGTAATGACTCAATATAGCCGACTAACCGAGACTCTTCTTTATGTGTACAGATGTGACGTAATGACTCAATATAGCCGACTAGCCAAGACTCTTCTTTATGTGTACAGATGTGACGTAATGACTCAATATAGTCTTCTAGCCGAGACTATTCTTTATGTGTACAGATGTGACGTAATGACTCCATATAGCCGAATAGCCGAGACTCTTCTTTATGTGTACAGATGTGACGTAATGATGAAAATGAAATTTTATTTTGGATAATTTTTAACCCAAAAATGCTACAGACTGCAGCTTTAAGTATCAATGAAACACCATGGTGTACAGCGTTGCCAGGCTAGGATACAATGATCAGCTTTGCAGCTCAAGCATTAAAAAGGATATATTGTGGTGACATCATTTGGTGCAGGAAACCACAATGCTAGTTTCACAAGCATTGCATACAAGTCAAGACGATGAAAAAGGGCATCCTGTGCACTAAAATGAATTTTAAATCAAGTATGCTTAAAGGATGGAGACTTGAATTGGAATTATATAGATATTATTCTAAAATGGAGATTATATTATGAAAACATTATATTGTGTATAAATAACACATAAAAATATAAAAGATGTATCAATTTTCTGTTTAATATATTTTACAGTATACACCACTTTACTGAAATTAAATTGTTACGTCTTTCATCAGAATTATGGCCAAAGAATTGCCTGTTTCTGCATTAGGAATTTAGCATTTAAACATGATTGAATGAATTAAATAAAATTTAATCACAACCACATATTTCATGGTAGGCCTGTTCTCAAACGTTTAGAGAGAACTGGAGAGGTAATGGACTCCACACACACCTACATCCCAGTAGTGATGGGAAAAACCAAGGCTGCGACTGAAATCGCAGTCTTGAGTAGGTTTTTATTGCGAGTGTTCAGAAAGTATGTTCTATATAGTACGAACGTCTTTAGTATGAATGTAATCTGAATGTACTACAGTTGCCACGTTGTCATTACGTGTTACCCATCAGTGTCAGTTTTGTCGTTACACTGCCATTCGCAAATCCTCTCCCGTGGCCTCATGGGGTAAAGTGTCCATCGTATGTACACTTCAGAATCTGAAGAATAAGTATATGTGTACTTCTTGCCTACTCTTTTTTGAGAACTGTGAATTCAGACATGGGGATGACATGGAGCTGGAGAGGGGTGTAAACTGATTCAGCAGATTCCCAACTCTCCAGCTTGTATCATAACCAGGACTCCATCTATTCAACAGCTTCATTGGCTTCCTATTAAATTCCGAATTGAATTTAAAATTCTCCTCCTCACTCAGTAACACCTCAATGCAGTACATGAGATCCACGGGGAGGAGTCGGATCAAGATCCAAGGGGTGGAGATGGGTAGGATTAGGGTTGGGTTTAGGGATCAGGGGGTGGAGTTGGGTAGGTTTAGGTGTATGTAAGGTGGTAGGAGTTTCACACTTGCACTAAACATTTGGTCAGCATTGGCTGTGATCATCTTCAGACCGCTGGCAGGAAGTTGGTAATTGACCAAACCATACTTGTATACTTGAAGCTCTGTCATATGGGCTATGCACGCATTAGTTCCACATTTGACTCAAGGATGCTCATCAGTTTCCGGTTGGGGAGATTAAAGTGGAGGAAAACCGAGGACAACGGGATTTTGGCAGAGTCTTCAAAATTTACTGTCCTTCCGTCTTTGAAACGAAACTTTCATATACGTTTAGATGTCATTTTATAGTTATGTTTATTTAATATAATTTTAAAAAGAAGCATAAACACAACGAGGGGTGTCTGTTTTGACTAACTTTTATTTAGTATAACCATGGAGTATACAATTCAATATGAATTCTCTGTATTGTATTGGAGTCTACGATCGGCGGAAGTTATCGAGCATCCTTAGACCTTCACCGGAAATACCGCCGTGCATAGAGCCCATTGTGACTAAATTTGGTAGCAAACCTGTTCAATAATCACAATCATCACTTGAAGTTTCTGCACAGTGCCACCAACTGGTCAGGAGATATAACAATTTTTTTTTTTTTTTTTTTTGCTACACAACCTGTTTTTAAATCGTGCATTAAACTTGTTCAGGTTGCACAATTATTGACATGCCTTGTCAAATTATCTCAAATAAAATGCTTATTATTTTTCAACATGCTTTGGCTGTCATTTACTGAGGAATATTATCAAAACGATCATCACACTTTAGATTATGGTACAATTCGCACTATTAACTAAACGACTTTAGCCTTATTAAACTAAAAGTTCACTGGTTTTTAATAGTAAAGTAGTTGTTAGTTTAGGTATGGGGAAGAAGGGCATTATGTGATTTATAATATACAGCCAATATCCTAATAATATGTATTAATAAAATAATAATACTAATACTAATACACAATAATAAACAGCTATCCTTATAGACCATTTCACAAGATGTAAACAACACTGGTCCAGAAGCACTTCCTGTTTCAGTTTTTTAACACTACATAAAAGCTGGGATAAAATACAACCAACAGAACATTTAAAACTGAATCAAAAAGTTAAACAAACATCTTTAAGATGTTTTCTTTACATGTGAAAGAAAGAAAACAGTTACAAACTGAAACAGGAAGTGTTTCTGGACCAGTGTTGTTTACATCTTTTGAAATGGTCTATAATATTAAAACTAATTTAGTCCTATTAACCCCAACCGTACATCCATTACGTACGTGATACTTGCTACTTTTCTCCGCGCTGGCTAAAATGGACCAATCAGAGGTCTTGTTTGTGATCACTTTATTGAAAGTCCTTTTGTAAAAATTGTAGATCCATTTATTTTTTACTTTATTGTCATTTTAAAATCATTTTATAAAATACGTTTAAACTATGATTCATTTCAGCAGACAGATGTTTAGACAATAAAAATGTCCTCAGATATGAATCATACACACTGTAAAATATGAATGCAGCCAGAGCAGCTCAGCTCAGTAAGAAATGCGCCCCCTGGAGTTTCAATCCTGCGTTCTCCTTTTACCCACAACTCTGTGCGCCGGAGGTGTGGTGTTCCATGATTAAAGAAGATGGCGGACTCCTCAGTAAGCATCTCCCAGTTTGTGTGGTTTGATGTATTTAGTGATGTTTTAAAATATTTCTATGTTCCAATTGACCGCTGTCGTTTATAATGGCGTTATGTCCCCCAATAGGTGGAAATCGTAGAAGGGTGCCGTCTTCCCGTGCTGCGAAAAAATCAAGAAAATGAAGACGAGTGGCGTAAGTAAGAATGTAAACAAAAGACTCGCAGTCCATATTAAACTGTTCTGTCGGTTTATTTAATTAGGGACTGTTCTTCTTACTGAACGTTAACCATTTGTTATAAAACGCAATGTGGAGGTATCAGGGATGCTGTTTACTGTAACTATGTGATATGCAACTGAATGGTGTGTGATTTACTTATTCAAATAGATTCACATTGTTGTGCTCTATAGTATGTTTTGTTAGAGAGGGTAAACGTGTTTTATTATTATTATTATTATTATTATTATTATTTTGTGGTCTGCTTGTTATGTGAACACATGACATTGTTTAATTCCTTATTAATAAGTTAAAATCTTAATCCAGCAAAAAACACCCTTTGGTTGTAGCTGGTTTTTCATGAGTTTAAGCTGGTCTGGATGTGTTTGTAGCTCGACTATCACCTGGTGGGGACAGATAGTTGACATCTAGCCGAAAAGAACATTTCAAACGGGATTCATCTGAAATACAATTTTCCTGGTTTGATATGAGTGGGTCTTAAGATTTCAGCTGTGTGAATGCTTCTTTATCCTTTTATTCCTTCAAAGCGTTGGCTGAAATTCTCAGTGTCAAAGACATTCCTGGGAGAAAGCTCTACTATGTCCACTATATTGACTGTGAGTATCAAACATTTACCTGACAATTAGACAAATCAGTTGTACCTGCCTTACAGTTATGTTTTCATATTATGATTCTATTTGATGCAAGATTTGTTCAGCCTTTTTGCTAACTGCAAAGAAAATATGCATTTTTTGGGGGCAAGTCAACAAGCGACTGGATGAATGGGTGACTCCAGACCGGTTGGACTTGAAGAAGCTCCAGTTTCCCAAAAAGGAGGCAAAGACCCCTACGAAGAACGGCCTGCCGGGGTCTCGCCCCAGTTCTCCAGAGAGAGAAGTGGTAAGAACGTCATTTCAAATCTGCCTGTGACGTTAGGATTTCTGAGATGAAATGTGACACGCCCCCACCTCAGTGATTGACCTTCATTTTGAAACATTGTGTCACAAGCGGTTGTTTACGTGCCATGTAATCCTCTTCCTTTCTGTTCAAATTCAGAGGAAGAGTCTAGATCTCAACGTTCAGTCTGCTTCAGCTCCATCAAGAGGCAAAACCCTCCCCACACCGGTACAGACAAACCCGCCCATTTACACTAATAAAACTCAATCTGTCAAGCAAGAGCTTTTAATCAATGGGCTGAATTTTGTTTGAAAAAGCTCATTTCACATTTTCCAACAAGTGAGAGGGATACAATTTTTGCCTCGACTCAATTTACATTGCCGATTATTAAGCAGCTTGAACATTTTATGTAATGATAATGTTACCACTATTAACAAGTTTTTCTTTCACAAACATTTCTGTCATTAGTTACCCTCATGTTCTTCCAAACTTTCTTCTGTGGAACACAATAGAAGGTTTTGTGTGTGTGTGTGTGTGTGTCCAACCATACATTGAAAGTCAGTGATGTTCATTGTTTTGGATATTAATGACTTTTTTTTTCTATAAGGAAAAAACTCTTCAAATTTTTTTTCTTTTTTTTTCTTCTTCAAAATATCTTCCACAGATGAAAGTATTATAGGTTTCAAACAATATGAGAGTAAATGATGACAGAATTTTAATTTTTGGGTGATCTGTCATTTTAATAAGATAATATTTTAAACAGTTTCCACCCCATACAGTTCTATATGTAAGATGTAGTACCGGTATCTTTTGTAGAGTTGTTGTTGTTGTTTTTCCCCTCCTAAAGAAATCTATTCAGTGTTGTTTTCCAAAATGAATATACACTAAGGGTGACAAGGTCTCCAAGGCTGCATTTGTTTAAACAAAAAATACAGTAAAAAATGTAGTATTATGAATACAATTTAAAATGACTTTTCTAATTTAATGTAATTTCAAATCCATTCCAGTGATGAAAAGCTTATTTTTTAGCATCATTAATCGCATTATCCTTCAGAAATCATTCTAATATGCTGATTTGGTGCTCAATGATTAATAATATATGTCTTTATATATTATGTATTTGTATATTTGACATTTATTATAAAAGTATTTATATATTTAAAAATGATTTACCGTAAGTTTTGATCCGTTTTATGTGTCCTTCCTTACTGAATAAGTGTTTTCTTTTCTTTTTTCTTTGTTTAAAAATATGAAGCATCAAAAAAATAAATATATCTATCTTACGAAATATAATGTGAGACTAAAGACTGGAGTAATGATGCTGGAAAAAATGTGCTTTGCCATCACATGAGTAACATTTTATAATACATTTAAAAAGAAAATTGTTGTTTTAAATTGTAATGATATTTAACTATTTTACTGTTTATACAACATTGGATCAAATTCTTGCAGTTTTGGCGCGAATTTTTTTTGCGAAAACTTGTATATGAAAGCATTTTCCATATTTATCATATATTCTCATCACTCATTACTAGCATACTCATTACTTCTTGTAATTAATTAGGAAAATAAGGTAAGTGACTGGAATTTACTTGCATCAGCTGTTAGTTGTGATTTATTGTTATTCATACTTGGGTTTAAAGGTTTATTCAAGTCCGTAAACCTAAGTATAAATTAGAGCTGTGTGTATTTGTATATATAAATACACGCACACATGCATGTATTGAAGAAATATTTGCACGTATATACTTTATATACATTTATATACATTTATATGAAATTTATATTATACATAAATAAAAATGTTTGATATTAATAACAAATTTTTCTTAAAAATATTATACATGCATATGTGTGTATTTATATATACAAAATTAAGTAAACACACTACACACACATATATTATTTAAACACAAACTTTTATTTTGGATGCGATTAATCGTTTCACAGCTCTAGTAAATAACAATTGGTGAAAAAAAATCCCATAGATTTACACTAAAGGAGAGACCCAAGCCATATCCAGAGACCAGAATATAATATCAGGTTCGGCGCTCCTATTGGTTTTTGGTTTGACTGTTGTTGTAGGAGAAGACACACTACAGGACTGTGCATCAAATCTTGTAACACTGACAGAATCTTGTCGGAAGTAAAATGTGATAAATTTGATTCAGTGACGCATTGGATTCATAAATTAGTCTGAGACGGCCAAATCGTGGTCAAAATCGTACCGTGTGAACCCTGGGAAGTTCATCTTTACGAGTTGGGAAGTTGTTTATGATGTCAAGTCACTTTTGGTGGTGTACCTTCTCTTATTTAACTACGCTGAAATAAAGGGTTTGAAGTAGGGCTGTGCAAAAATTAATTGCGATTAATTGTATCCAAAATAAAAGTCTGTGTTTACATAATATATTTGTGTGTGCTGTATATATTTATTTTGTTTATATAAAAACACACACATGCATGTATATATTTAAGAAAATGTGTTATTCATATATAAAATATTTATATTTATATAATATAGATTTTTTTATTTCTATATATGTATAAACAGAATTTAAGTGCAAATAATTCTTAAATATATACATGTATGCATAGGTATTTATATATACAAAATAATTATATACAGCACACACAAATATATTATGTAAACACAGACTTTTATTTTGGATGCGATTAATCGCAATTAATTTTTGCACAGCCCTAATTTGAAGCTCTACTTCTAGAAAAGTTCTTGAACAAATAGTGTGCCTCAAGTGTGTTTTATGTTACAATGCTATTACTGTATATTTTGTGCAGGCAATTAGCTTATTTTGTTGTAAATCAAACAGCCTGGCAATGTTTCGCACTGACACGCCTCCAACTCATAAAGATCGGGGCTTAAAGGGTAACTAAACCCCTGGTCAGAGCCTGACTCCACCCACTGGCAATGTTTGAAAATGCTGAAAAAGTGGCCTGACCCCAGCGGAGATAGAGGGGACGAAATAGATGCTAAAACTCTCTATCCTGATCGTTTTCAATACTCACAATCCCAATTCCTGACTCCCTACAGTGGTTTTGACCACACAAGATAGTTTTTATGCTGCCAAAGGCGTAGCTCGTGTGTTGAGCTGAAACCTGGGTACGTCACGAAGTGCGGAACTTCCAATAGGCACATTCAACTGCAGTAGCCACCGTTCAACCTGAAGAGGGCAGCACTAATGACGTTTTTACTCCATATATTGTAGAAATAAAACACTTTATAAACAAATGTCAAAAAAGTTACTCGAATCAATGACTGGTTTTAATAAAGATCCATTCTTACAGATCATGAACTAAAAAAAGTTAGTTTAGTGTTTAGTTACTCTTTAAAGAAAACCCAGAGCTTCCCGCTGCTATTTACGACTTTGTGGTGGCGTTTATGTGCGTTCAACTTGTAAATACGTCTCGAATGCACCAAAATTCTGCCTTCACGTGCTGTTGGAAATTTCCTACTTCCCACGTCTGAAGTCGTGATTGCGAGCTTGTCGCGTTCAAGTTCTATGTTGTTGGAAATAAATCATGGAGGACACACTAGGTATAGTCTTGGGGAAATCTTATTAAAGCCGAAATGAATTGAAGATATTTAATTAAATAAAATCTAGAGTCCCTTTCTTTGACAAACATGTATACATTGACTCTGCGATCTAGAGAGTTAGCCTGCTGACAATTCTGGATTTTCTGTCAAGTTAATGCTATTTTTGCTGTGTATTAAACAATACGCTTCAACAATATACGGCAACGACAAGGCGATGTAGCTGTTGTGGAAAAAACAAATAAAGAATACCAGTCAGCAATCGTTCTCACTATGTTTAAAATTTATGGCCAACTTGGAAACTCAAAATTGTCCGATTTTTTTTTTTTTTTTTTTTTTTTTTTTTTTTTTTTTTTCCAGTTTACCATTGTAAATATGGCTTGATGGCATTTATGTTCAAATTCTGAATAGGAAATTTGTATTTATGATAATTCCGATGGCACATGAAGGCAGCATACATGTGTCAGATAAGAGGGACATACACATGTGCAGAGTGGTGTGTTTCCAGGAACAGTTGACAACTGTTGAAAACCACTGATCTAGAGCGACTTAGCGCATCTTAACGTATAGAAATACTTGGTTTTTTAATTATTATGGTGTTATTTAAGAATTTTGTGTTTTACTGTCCTTGCAGAGAAAAAGTGATTTGTCTTTCTGATTTGCTCTTTCAGAAGAGAAAAGCAGAATCCGTGTCTTTGGCAACACAAGTTACTGCAGCGATTCCAGTGCCTTCACTTCCTAGTTCTGCAGAGGCAAGTCAGGCCTCGGTCTATCCAGCCATGAGGGACTCGTCCTTCAGCATTAAATCCAGAGAAGAACATGAGCCGCTCACCTCTCTCTCCACGGTAAAAAAAAAGACCTTTCAATCATAAATCATGTTAGCTTAATCTGTTACAGGAGTTAAAGGAGTAGTTCACTTTAAAAAAAAAAACTTTTGCTGATAATTTAGTCACCCCCATGTCATCCAAGATATCCATGTCATCCTTTCTTCAGTCGAAAAGAAATTAAGGTTTTTGATGAAAACATTCCAGCATTATTCTCCATATAATGGACTTCAATGGGAACCAAACGGTTCAAGGTCCAAAAGACAGTTTCAGTGCAAACTGCACACTGTTCAAAGGGCTTTAAACAATTTCAGACGATAAATAAGGGTCTCATCAAGCGAAACGATCATTTGAGCTCATAAAACAAACTTAGTTCGTTTTTTTTAATGAGTGATCATTTCGCTTGATAAGAACCTTATTTATCGTCTGAAATCATTTAAAGCCCTTTGAACAGTTTGCACTGAAACTGCCTTTTGGACCTTGAACCGTTTGGTTCCCAGTGAAGTCTATTATATGGAGAAAAATCCTGAAATGTTTTCATCAAAAACCTTAATTTCTTTTCGACTGAAGAAAGAAGGACATTTTAAAAGTTTTTTTAAAAAGTGAACTACTCCTTTAAATATCTGCTATAATTATCAGAATACAAAGAAAAATTTGAGAGCTTATTTATTTTGATTTTGCTTTTTTATTCTTGAAGAATGGAACAACACGTCGTCTTATTCCTTCTCAGCCTGGGAGAAAAAGGAAAAGTTGTGGAGGAACGGATGAGGTAGTGTAATGGCAACTCGATTTCCAGATGGGTTTTTTTTAGCACTACATGAGGCACAGTTATTTATAATCCCTATCAAATCTTAAAATGGCTGAATCCCAGGTTTTGATTATCACTCAGTTTTAACACATTCTTACAAATTTAACACATTTTATTGTTATTTATCTTATATCTTGTTGGTTAGCATCACATCCTTTTTGGATGTGTGTATCTTCAAAAGAATGTATACATAAAGTACATATAAATTGATCTAAAAAACATGTTTTTTCTCCACTTGTGTTTTTCTGTTAGATAGTAAAGGTGTTCCAGAATAACAACCCTCGCTGCTCCACCGTCTATTTGCCACCAGGAGAGGTCCGGCTCCTTTACTTCCCATTGCCTTGATTGTGTGTCTGTTAAGGCTTTTTAGAGAAAAGTATGAAACTCAAAACTATAGAAATTTATCTAAAAAGCCATTGGATCTCATAAATGCAGGTGTCGTGTGGAAGATAATACTGTTTATTTTCCTTTTTCAGTGTATTGAGTAATAATAAATGAGTAATTCCTGCTATTTACAGTGATAGCAAGATGATAAAGTTCATGGATTTCTTTTTAATACACAGGACATCTGCTTTTGTCATTGACTGCTGTTAGATCTCTCTAACTCTGCTCTCTGCTCTTAGGATTCGCAGGACAGTTCTGATGGTATCCCCTCTGCCCCTCGCATGACTGGCAGTTTGGTGTCGGACCGCTCACATGATGACATCGTCACGCGAATGAAGAACATAGACTGTATTGAGCTGGGCCGGCACAGGCTAAAGCCGTGGTACTTTTCTCCATACCCGCAGGAGCTCACCACCCTCCCCATCCTCTACCTTTGTGAATTTTGTCTGAAGTACCTCAAGAGCCTCAAGTGTCTTCAGAGGCATCTGGTAAGAGTTAGACTGCTTTAGATAAACATGACTCTTACATAGGAGTCTGTTTCAATCTCAGTAAAACTGCACCAAAAAAACAACAACAAAAAAACATTTCACTGTTCAAAAGTTTTTGAAAAAATACTTTTATTCAGCAAGAACATAATTTATAAATTTTATAATTTATCATAATTTATAATTTATAAATTAAACAAAAGTGATAATTTATGTTACAAAAGATATTTGTTTCATATAAATGCTGCTATTTTAAACTATGTTCATCAAATAATCTGAGAAAATATATCCCAGTTTTCACAAAAACATGCAGTAAAACTGTTTTTAACATTGATAATAATACATGTTTCTTGAGTACCAAATCAGCAAATTAGAATGATTTCTGAAGGATCACATGACACTGAAGACTGGAGTAATGATGCTAAATCCAGCTTCACATCACAGGAATAAATGATATTTTGAAAATGTATTCAAAACTGCTATTTTAAATTTGTATAATATTTCACAATATAATTTTTTTAACTATATTTTTGATAAAAATAAATGCAGTCTTGGTGAGAAGAGACTTTAAAATGTTAAAAAAATCTTTTGAACTGGAGTGTATCTTTTGTTAAAAAGATTTTTGTTTTGATGGTTTAATGCAAGGGATATTGCACATTTGGGTGGGGAAAAACACAAGGTATATAGTCCACCTAATTTGGTCCTAAATTAATGTTGATATAACAGTCACAACAGATGTTTTATAGACTGTTCTATATTTGAATTGCTTATGTCCTTTATTTGTGCAGGTCTAACTATTCTTACAGTTCAATTTGTCAAGCTGTACTCGCATCTGGTGATGTTCTTACATTATTTAGCTGATTACATTTCAGGTATAATGATTGAATTCAGTCTAATTAAATGTTTCATTCACAGTTAATAAAAACCTGATATTTCATATATATATATATATATATATATATATATAAAATCATTTTACCATTATCAGTTTTTTTTTTTTTTTTTTTTTTTAATTGACCTGATTTGCCACTTAAACTTTATTTTTTTGGGTTGAAAGGCACCTGAGCACAGACACACTTAAAACAACAAGCTTTAGTGTGATCTTGGGTTAAGCAACATGCCCAGAGATAACCGTCACCTGTCTATAACTATTACAGACAAAATGCAACCTTCGACACCCTCCAGGAAATGAGATCTATCGCAAAGGAACTATATCATTTTTTGAAATAGATGGCAGGAAAAACAAGGTGGGTAACCTCAAGTGTGTTATAATTTGCTTTGCAGAAGTGTGTGTGAGTGCTTGTGTTCGACAGAGAAAGTACACTACACTACCTGCTACTGTAGCGAAGCGGGCATGTCATTTTTTTATTATTAGACATTAAAAAGAATGCATAATAATTCAAATCATGTATTATTAATTTTTTTTAAATATGTAGATAAAAAAAATCACACTAATTCTGTGTTTTTGCTGGTAATAAAATTAAGCCATAAAACACTAATTTTACCATAAACTTTTTGTCAAATAATGTGCTGCACAATGAGCTTTACTGTTAAAATTAAAACATGGATTAGTTAAATTCAGTTTTGTTTAAAAAATTCATAATTTATTCGTAATATCGTATTAGCGTATTAGTGTATAGTTAATGTATTATTACATCTGGACATTTCCTATTTCTACTGTACAACAGTAATATATTTCTGTCAAGTTAAACCGAACTTTTATTTTGACGGGTTGCCGTTAATCTCTTTTTTGAGTTTCTGTGTGTTTGTCATGATCGTCATGATGATAGTTTCACAAATGAAGTTGTTAAATGATCACGACGTTATTTTTTAGAGTGGATCTAGAGCCTGGAGAGGAAGTTCAATCATTTCTGTCTTCATATAGGCAAAAAAACAGCACAAGCGTCACACGTGTGTCTTCAGTGTATGTGTGTGTGTGGTAAATAAATCTGTGCGTCGGCAGCACCAGAGCCGTTGAAAAACATATTAATATTTAACGGCTCTAGGCTGGGCTACAAAATCTGCTTCAAAATCCCAGCGCTGTCGTCATCGTGGAAACCCCGCCCCAACGTTTCTGATTGGTGCCACGATTTCGACGGATTGGAAATGGGCTTGAATGAGCTCTTTGCCAGACTAACTTTCAGAGCAAATCTAAATTTGCCGGAAGTTTTCTGGGTTTTCCCAGGCTACATGTCAATCGACAGAAATGTTAAACAACCAATAGTAACATCAAGTGATCTAAATTACTCGACTTTTTTTTTCTCAAATATGGCCGTTTTGAATTGAAAACACATATTTGATTCATGTAATTCCTAGTATGACGAGACAAGAAACGCTTTACGTTTCCAGCATGTAAGGCATACAAATAAAGGTACCTGTCCTTATTTTAATGCAAATTTATGCAAAAGTTATTTGCAAAATGGTTCAAAATTATTAAATTCCCAATTAGAATTCCTTCACTGTTCTATTTCTTCATGCTTTCTAAAACATGTTTGATCCTATTAAAGCAAGATATGGTTACGGCCCTAAATTATTGTTTTTTCTTCTATTGCACAGACATATTCCCAAAATTTGTGTTTATTGGCCAAATGCTTCTTGGACCACAAGACCCTGTACTATGACACGGATCCTTTCCTCTTCTATGTTATGACCGAGTATGACTCGAAGGGTTTCCATATAGTCGGCTACTTCTCCAAGGTATAATATAGCTTACTGATATTTTATAATTTTGGCTAGTCCCCTTTTTTGTATGATAGGCTTGCTTGGATTAGTGTTTTCATTGGCTGTGTTTTCCATTAAAGGAAAAAGAATCAACAGAAGACTATAATGTAGCCTGCATTTTGACTTTACCACCTTACCAGAGAAGAGGCTATGGCAAACTACTAATCGAGTTTAGTGAGTAATCAACAGTTATGTCTTTTTACTTGGCAACATAGAATGTGATCATAAGGATTTGAAAGTTATAGCTTGCTATCTCAGAATAATGTGTAGGTTGTATAAGCAAGCAAACAAACATAGTTTTTGTTCACATCTGTCAGGTTATGAGCTCTCAAAAGTGGAAGGAAAGACAGGTACTCCAGAGAAGCCTCTTTCTGATCTGGGTCTGCTCTCTTATCGCTCTTACTGGTCTCAAACTATTCTGGAGATCCTCATGAACCTCAAATCAGAGAATGGAGAACGGCCACAGATCACCATCAAGTAAGTATCCTCTTCTTTAACCTCACAAAAATCTGAACCATAGAGTGTAAAGTGGGGCCAAAAAGTATTTAGTCAGCCACTGATTGTGCAAGTTGAATGAAAAGAGAGGTCTGTAATTTTCATCATAGGTACACTTCAACTATGAGAGAGGTTTTTAAAGAATTTATTTGTAAATTATGGTGGAAAATAAGTATTTGGTCAATAACAAAAGTTCAACTCAATCCTTTAAAGTCCCCATGAAATCAAAATTGAACCTATTTACTTTGTTAGCGCATATTACTAGTCTTGTGGTGAACAATTAATCCGTGCAAGTAAAAATATATTTAAAAAATGTTTTACCTTGGTAATCTTTAATCAAAATCTGAAAAGTTACTTCCGGTCTGGAACGGTTTCTTTTTCTGATGACGTAGGTTTCACAACTTGGGTGGGGAAACGCTTAACCACTCCCCTCAAACCGTTAGTTTGCTATGAGCGAGAGATGGAGAGGAGGAGCGCTAGAGTAAAACCCTGCCCTCTGTTCAATATTCCGTTTCACTTGGAAATACGTCACAGCACTGGAGAAAAATCGTTTGCAACTTCCGGTTCACGGGGACTTTAACATAACCTTTGTTGGCAATGACAGAGGTCAAACGTTTCCTGTAAGTCTTCACCAGGTTTGCACACACTGTAGCTGGTATTTTGGCCCATTCCTCCTTGCAGATGTCCTCTAGATCAGTGATGTTTCGGGGCTATCGCTGGGCAACACAGACTCCACAAATTTGCTATGGGGTTGAGGTCTGGAGACTGGCTAGGGCACTCCAGGACCTTGAAATGCTTTTTATGGAGCCACTCCTTCGTTGCCCGGACGGTGTGTTTGGGATCATTGTCATGCTGGAAGATCCAGCCATGTTTCATCTTCAAGGCTCTCACTGATTGGAAGGAGGTTTTGGCTTAAAATCTCACGATACATGGCCCCGTTCATTCTTCCCTCAACACGGATCAGTTGTCCTGTCTCCTTTGCAGAAAAACAGCCCCAAAGCATGATGTTTCCTCCCCCATGCTTCACAGTAGGTATGGTGTGCTTGGGATGCAACTCTGCATTCTACTTCCTCCAAACACGACGAGTTGAGTTTTTACCAAAAAGTTCTTTTTTTGACCACATGATATTCTCCCAAACCTCTTCTGGATCGTCCATATGCTCTCTGGCAAACTTCAGACGGGCCTGGCTTAAGCAGGGGGACACGCCTGGGACTGCAGGATTAGAGTCCCTCTCGGTGTAGTGTGTTACTTATGGTAGCCTTTGTTACTTTGGTCCCAGCTCTCTGTTGGTCATTCATCAGGTCCCTCCATGTAGTTCTGGGATTTTTGCTCACCGTTCTCATGATCCTTTTGACCCCACGGGACGAGATCTTGCGTGGAGCCCCAGATCGAGGGAGATTATCAGTGGTCTTGTATGTCTTCCATTTTCTTACAATTGCTCCCACTGTTGATTTTTTTTTCACACAAGCTGCTTGCCTATTGTTGATTCACTCTTCCCAGACTGGTACAGGTCTACAATTTTCTTCCTGGTGTTCTTCGACAGCTCTTTGGTTGAGTTTGGAGTGTGACTGTTTGAGGGTGTGGACGGGTGTCTTTTATACAGATAACGGGTTCAAACAGGTGCCAATAATACAGGTAACGAGTGGAGGACAGAAGAGCTTCTTAAAGAAGTTACAGGTCTGTGAGAGCTAGAAATCTTGCTGGTTTGTGGGTGACCAAATACTTATTTTCCACCATATTTTACAAATAAATTATTTAAAAGTCCTTCAATGAAATTTTTTCTCATTTTGTTTCTTATACTTGAAGTGTGTACCTTTTCCTATGATTTGGGGTCAGATACGACCCAGAAATTTCTTTCAGAGATGCATCACATCCATTATGATGGCTCAGTTTTAAAAAAAAAAAGCTTGTATTGAAATTACATTACGAGTAGGGTTACATTATTAGTAGTTGTTTTTAACGTTATTTGTGATTCTCGCAGTGAAATCAGTGAGATTACCAGTGTCAAGAAAGAGGATGTGATCTCAACTCTTCAATACCTTAACCTCATCAATTATTATAAGGTACGCGATGGCTTGGGATGTGTTTCAGATTTCCCATCAACCCTAATTGTTAAAGGATTAGTTCACTTTTCAGAAAACTTTTGCTGATAATTTACTCACCCCCATGTCATCCAAGATGTCCATGTCTTTCTTTCTTCAGTCGAAAAGAAATTAAGGTTTTTAATGAAAACATTCCAGGATTTTTCTCCATATAATGGACTTCAATGGGAACCAGACGGTTCAAGTTTTAAAAGAAACTTTCAGTACAAACTGCAAACTTGTTCAAAGGGCTTTAAACGATTCCAGACGATAAATAAGGGTCTTATTAAGCGAAACAATCGCTAAAAATAACAAAGTTTAAGTTTTATAAGATCAAACGCTCGCCTTGCTTTGTTCTGTGGTGCACGTTCGTGACTCTCCTGTTCGAACTATTTCAACAAAATGAACAAATCTTTTTCCGAATCAATTCGTTCGTTTCTTTCGCCGAATGAACCAAATGACTCGGAAAAAGATTTGTTCATTTTGACGAATGAGTTCGAACAGGAGTGCGTTACAGAACAGAGCAAGGCGAGCGTTTGAGCTTATAAAACTTAAACTTTGTTATTTATTTATAAAACAAGCGATCGTTTCGCTTGATAAGACCCTTATTCATCGTCTGGAAGCGGTTAAAGCCCTTTCAACAAGTTTGCAGTTTGTACTTAAAGTTTCTTTTGGAACTTGAACCGTCTGGTTCCCATTGAAGTCCATTATATGGAGAAAAATCCTGGAATGTTTTCATCAAAAACCTTCATTTCTTTTCGACTGAAGAAAGAAAGACATGGATATCTTGGATGACATAGGGGTTAGTAAATTATCAGCAAAAGATTTTTCAAAAGTGAACTACTTTAATATATCCTATCAATTAGTGGTTTTCAATTTTTTGCTTAAGTTTTGTAGTTTATTGAGCTTGATTGATCTTCTTGCAGGGTCAGTATATCCTCACCCTATCAGAGGACATAGTGGAAGGTCATGAGCGGGCCATGCAGAAGCGTCACCTCCGTATCGACTCCAAATGTTTGCATTTCACTCCTAAAGACTGGAGTAAAAGGGGCAAGTGGTAAAGACTGGAGGAGGACTGCTAGCACCCACCAATTTCGTTCAAGAGACTGTAGCTGGTCCACAAACAGACTTGACAAAACCAGTTTAATATTGTTAAAGATTCCACTGTCCACATCTGCATGTTATGTGACTGACGTTTACACATTTTTATACTCTGTGAGATTCATGTTAGTCTGTTATTTGTCTGTATGTGAGAATGGAAAATTGTATTCGTTAGGTCCTCTTAGATGCCTATATACACAGTTATCTGTGCTCTAGTAAAGTGATATGACCTTGTTTATTTTCATTGACTTCCATGATACGAGTGACAGGAACCATTGCTGACAGGATGTAGGTTTTCCCAGCTATGTGACACAGTTAAAAGAAACTGTAAATAAGCAGCGATTTTTCAAGAGCAACTACAAATGGCAGTAAAGACACGTGATCCATCTCGTGTATCAAGACTGAGAGTTTCATCGTTCATCAGTTGGTGTATGTAGTTGATTTAATGTTCAATCAAGGATACTCGACATATACAAAATTGCCAGCTTTTTTTGTATAAGAAATGGCTTCCCTCTTTTTTCACTTTTTAATCAGAGTTTTTAATCAGAGTACATCAGACAGCCTTCCAGCCGGAATGCTCTTTTAGATCTAGCTAGCCCTCGACTTGCACAGTTTCTTTTTTTATTATGTTTTATGCACGGATTACATTTTAAATAATCTTTTTCTCCAGAAAGTCTTCTTGGAGAAAGAAAACCAATTTGATTTGGAAATCTGTTAATGGCTTAAATGTGATTAGGCAACTAATAATGTTTTTTTTTTTTTTAATGCTAAAGAAAAACATTTTGGAGAAGATCGGGTTATTTAAATGGAATCTGTACATACATAAGATATAAAAATGAAAAGCTATTTGCTGGCTTAGCCATTGTGGTTATGGATATGTGGCCAAAACAGAGATGTTTCCTATAAACAACTGGCAATTTGGTTGTGTCGAGTAGCTTTAAACTACTACATTTGCTTACTCTCAACAACTCTGTCTTGCCAACACATGAAATTCGCTGCTTGTTTGCATAAAGTTCAACTCTGGACAGGCCTACATCCCGACGCCAATGGCCACTGTGTCGCTGGAGGTCGGCAGCTCTTCATTGAAAATGAATCCAGTCACACTTTATTGCGTGTCATTGGTGGAGTGAACTGGGCTGGAATGGTGCTTTACAATGTCATTGTGTCTTTATATAATATACTACACTTAAAATAAATGTCTTTTCTACATGGGTATGGAATGTGTCTAGATCAAATGCGCATGGATGTATTTGGATACCTGCACATTTATTACTTTTTTTTGATTTTTGTTACTGAATGTAAACCAGCAAACTGCACAAAATTGTGTATTAGAAATAGTAGCTGAAAGTATTTAGCTAAAGTAATTTTCTGACATTTTAAAATGTGTCTTACCCTTGGGTTTTTTAGCCTACTAGCTAGCTTGAACCTGCTGACATTATAAATCTGTATAAAATAAAAACATAATATAATTTACTTACAAAAGAGATCCACACCCCTTGCACAATCTGAAAATGTTAAATAAAATATTTTACATAAAAGATGTTTACATATAATTCACATGACAAAAAATTCAAATTGACCCCGTTCAAAAGTTTCTGTACCCTTGATTCTTAATACCGCATGTCCTTACCTGGGTGATCCACGTGGTTGTTCTTGAGTCCCTTGTTTGTCCTGAGCAGTTAAACTGCCCAATGTTCTTAAGAAAAAACCTCCAGGTCCCAAAAATTCTTCAGTTTTCCACTATCTTTTGCATATTTGAACCCTTTCCAGCAGTGACTATGATTTTGAGATCCATCTTTTCACACTGAGGACAATTGAAGGACTCAAACACAACTATTAAAAACTGATTCTAAAAACATTCACAAGAAATATTTGGACATCCCCATCCTGTTTAATACTATTGGTTGTAATCTGCTGCCACAATTTTATTGATTAGATTAAGCATATTCATTTTTACAGTGTAAAAACCTTCCCATCAAAACAACAGTTTTAATACATTATAAAACTTAGCAATGTATGGTTATATTAACAGTATGATGTTGTATAACACACAAACACATTATATCTTCTTAAATTAGAGTGGATTATCATTCTCTGAGCATTTTTATATTCTTTGAGCTATTCCTTTAACTTGCATAAGTCTCACTGCCTGCGTAGTAACAGTAAATCCTACTGTGAATGTTGCACAGAATCAGAAAAGCTGTTAATTCTGTTAATTCCAGGTTTCAGTAGCTCTGCCCTTACATGGCCTCATGGGTTATGAGACCTTTTTAGCACACGTGTTTTCATAACGACAAAAGAAGACATTTAGTTTGTTCTGTTCCATCTTAAAATAAGTTCATTTGAATATCATAACATTCATAACTTTTTCATTATAACAGTGCAGGATGTTGTCTAGTCAAAGGTTTTACATTTTAAGTTATAGACAGAGATATATTAGATATTTCCTTCAAGAAAAAGATTACACAATGGATAAAAGCACTTTTTCAAAGCCACACACTGACGTGTTCATTCACAAAGGCTTTTCTGTTTCATGCTCTCAATAATCGTCTTAAACACAGCAGCCATAGTCCCATATCCAACAAAAAGAAAATCAAGTAGCTGTTATCTTTGATAACAACCATATTCCTTAGTTGTCTATCACAACACAGGACAATATTGAATGTTAATAATAATAAAAAACAACAACATTTTTTTAAAAAACTGGAATAAAACTTGAGAGAGCCATATCTTGTGTAAAACTTGACTTAGCCTAATGTTTTTTTTGTACAGTCCCTCCCCCCCACCTCTCTCCCTCTCTCTCTCTCTCTCTCTCTCTCTCTCTCTCACACACACACACACACACACACACTAACAGCGCCTTTATAAACGCATGTGACGTCAGTCGAGCGGCTCAGCCTCGGGAATGAAGATGGTTCTCATCAAAGAATAGTGAGTGTTACTTACATTTCTGTTTATTTTATAGATGTTTATGTTGCCTTATTTAATATTGAATAGTTTGTATTCCAATTTACCTATGCTGCTAGATCTCTACATAGTTTTCGTGACTTTTACATGTTGTGTGAACAGAGATCATGACGATGATGACGATAACGTTAATGTGTGTGTTGCTGGTAAACTCGGGTCTGGCCTACAGGCTCTGACAGCAACTAAACACATTTCTTTGATAATTTATCGTAACTTTCACATGAAGTCATTTCCATACCTTTCATACTTTGAAGTTTTGTTTTAAGGTCGACCGAGGCTAGTCACAAGGATTTTAAACTAAGCTATTGCTATGATGGTTTGAGTCAATAGTCAAATTCTTGTTTTCTCTATAGCAGTGGTTTTGTGTAAAATCTCTAAAATTCGATTTTTTATGAATTCTGGAAAAGACTGTCGACCTACAGTCTCCCCTGTGCCTGTCATGTTTTTTTCTTCAGAATATTAACGTTATGTATAAATTATGTTGCATTGTCTTTTCTCTCGGTGTGTTTCAGCCACATTGTTTTGCCATGCACTGTTGAAGAGGTGAGTTTAATATAGTTTCTAATTTGTTTTAAAGCAGCTGAACATAAATCTATACTCTCACATTCATTTATACGTTTAATGCCTCTGTGAAAGACTGTGAACATAGGTTGTGGTAAGAAGCATATGGACATGTTTACAGTAGCATACAGGCAAAAGTTTGGACACCTACTCTTTTATTTGCACAATTTTTCATATTTTAGATTCATAGTAAAGTCGTCAAATCTAAGACATAACACAAATTGAAGTATGGGAATTATGCAGTGACCAACAAATGCTAAACAAACAAAAGCAATCTTATATTTAAAAACAAAATAAGAAGGTATATTTCAGTGGTTCTCAACCCCACAAGGGGGCCTCAGCAAACTTCCATGTTGCATGGTTGTTGGAGCGAGACGGGCTGGTTGGAATATTTCAGAAACTGCTGATCTACTGGGATTGTCAGGCATAGTCATCTCTAGGTTTTACAGAGAATGGTCTGAAAAAGAGAACATATCCAGTGAGTGAAAATGTCTTGTTGATGCCAGAGTTCAGAGGAGAATGACCAGGATTGAGCTGATAGAAAGGCAACAATAACTCAAATAAGCACTCGTTACAACTGACGTCTACAGAAGAGCATCTCTGAACGCGCCTCAAAGGCACACTATGCAAGAATTGTACCTTAATATAACAGCTTCAAAGTAATTTCGGTGGTAAATAAACTCATAGTAGGGCGAATCATCCTGGTAGTAAAGCTTGGGGTAAAACCAGCAATGCAAGTTTGAGAGGAGCGCCCCCGACATATCTCGTGAGAATCACAACATGCTTTACGGCAACAACGTCACACACATCAACCACAACATGAAGCACGAAGACACTTGCGCGCAAGACGTGATACACTTTCAGAAGCGATACTATGACGTTGGAAAAAGCAAAGAAAACGTGGTCGGAAGAGACTAGGAAAAGAGAATGATCCTCTCTGCTCAACCCGTAAATAAATGCGTCGATAAACGCAAGTTTTGTTTGAGTTCTTCAATGGTCTTGTGGGAGATCTTTTGTGAAGCGTGTCAGAGGTTACAGGTTCAAAGTTTTTTCTCTCTCATCAAAACTGAATTCATCAGTGGTCACAGTCTATATCAAGCAGGGACACGTTTTTGTGCATTTTATTTTGTGATTGAAGAGGGAGTCTGAGTGAAGACACAAGAGACACTATGTATCCATGACACTGATAGCAGCGGACACGAGCGCTCAGCTTGAGTTCAAAAACACATTTTAGCCCTAGATCTCTTATTTAAAGCTACACTGTGTAACTCTTTTAGTTTATTCTTAGCTAAAAACACTTTGTTCTTTCAAAAATATATGTGCTCATTAATGTATATTTACTTCGTTCAAGTAATAAAGTATTCTCGTGAGTGTATAATATGCCATTGAAAATACATACGGGTGTTGGCCGCCATGTTGCCCCTCCATCTTGAAAGTACATTAGCCAAAGAGGGACATACCCATTAATGCAAGCTTCGCCTTTCGCGTTTACGTTTGAGTTAACACTCATGGACGAGGTCGAACTCGAAGCCATGTTAATCTTGGACTACATTGGCCACCGTAGGATTTAAAACAAAATTGGAATTGAGAGGAAACTAATATTCCCTGTATGTTCATATACCTTTTCACCTCTAGATGGGGGTAAAAATCACACAGTGTAGCTTTAATGCAAAAAATGCACACTATGCAAGATTTGTACTTTAATATAACAGCTTCAAGTTATGGCAGAGACGCTCTGCGTGGGTGGTATTTCGACAGTAACATTAAATGCAAGTACTCCACGGCGACTCTAGAGGTCGCTGTTTGACAAAAACGGAATTCCTGCATAGTGTGCCTTTAAAGCAGATGGGCTACACCTCCATCCCTTTATGACCACAGTGTACTATCTTCCGGCCATGCCACAAAGCTCAAATCATCACAAACTGACCATCGCAATGAGTTGACTATCCTCAAATGGCCTCCACAGTCTCCAGATGCATGAAGCAGTGTGGTAGAATCCATTGTGAACATAGCCTTGTTTCAGTATCAAGTAGGGCAGCTGTACTCTGTGGCAGAAGCCAGCAAGAACGAGACCGGCGGAGGAGAGGGCATTGAGATATTGAAGAACGAGCCCTATGAAAAGGATGGCGAGAAAGGACAGTACACGCACAAAATCTACCATCTCAAAAGGTATGCAGATGTGGATTTACACTCCAGTCATGTGTGAGAAGCCTGGCTTTCAATAGAATATAGAATATAACACGTTTTAGGAAGTAATTCAAACATCGTTTGTGTTTTTCGTTTTGTATGTTCTGCCGCCCAGCAAAGTACCAGGCTTTGTAAAGGTGATCGCTCCTGAAGGTTCGCTTGTGTTCCACGAAAAGGCCTGGAATGCCTACCCTTACTGCCGAACAAGTGGGTGGAAAACTTTGAAACAAGCTTATTAGTAGGGTTGGGTATCGTTTGAATTTGAACGATTCTGATTCCGATTCCTTGTTTCGATTCCGGTTCCTAACGATTCTCGATTCCGATTCTTTTAAGAGGCAGGGTCAAAAAAGTTTAGCTAACCTTGCTAACCAACGGTCTTTCTGAAGGAAATACTCCTTCTGTCACAAATTTTGCATTTTGCCGAGATTTCGTTGTTTTTTTAGAAAAGTGAAGCCACACTTTGGACCGCCGACGTAAGCTACTCATGTTCAACTCGGTTATGCCAACACTTCCGGTAGACGCTTCTTCGTTGGTGTTGTTCAGCGGTTTCTTTTTCCGCTCGGCAGACTGTGAATATCGAAACTAGGAATCGAAATTTTAACTTTTGAACGATTCCGGGAAAAACGAAAAGTTAGTCCCGGTTCCAATCGATACTCGATTCTCGATACCCAACCCTACTTATCGGTTATGCATCACAGTAAACACATGCGCCAACCAGTCAATAAATGCCTTAAAATGATTCTAAAAATTCAACCTAAGTTAGTTGCACTTTCATTATGTTGATTAATCAAGTTTACATTTTTCATGTTTTAAGAATTTAAATGAATGTGAAGTTTACTTTTAATATATAGAAACTTAATTGGGATAACCGGTTGTAATTCATGGTGTAACCTCTATTCGTGTCTGTGTTTTTCTATTGTTTGATATACATGTTTGCCACAGTTGTAACGGTAAGTGCACTGAAAACTTTGTTGGTTCTATTAAATTTAAATGCCTATTTTTGTTAATCACATGTAAGGAATGCCAGTTTTCAAGACCCTGTGAAGTAATATGACAATTTTATTTATTTTTTTAATTTTCTTCAAATGCTTATGTAAATGTCATAGCCCGACATAACCATAATTTGCTGTTTGCTACTGCTAGTCAATGACTGGTCATTCTAAAAGGCATTTTATTAGACAAAAATGCATACAAGATTATTTGGCAATTTTTCGGAAAGACTTTGTTTTACATGCGCTACAAGTTTTTTTAGTCAACTTTTACCTTTTAGAATAGCTAATAGATATTGACTAAAAGTCACAAAACCTGTTCCTGATCTTCATTTCACTGGGTCTTTCATGCTGTCAATGGTATATGGTTGCCAACTAAATCAAATGAAATGTTGATTAATCAGTCACAATTGCATAATAATCTCTCTCTGCTTTATACAAGATATTTTTTGGATAGTAGTCATGTTCACTAATCTGTAAGATTATTAAAAAAAAAGTTTGAAACAAGTTTCCTGTGCTCAACAGTTATGCATTTATTTGATTTAAAATACAGAAAAAAATGTAACATTATAAAATATGATTTAAAATAACTTAAATGTTTTTTTTTCAAAGCTGAATTTCCAGTCTTTAGTGTCACATGATCCTGTGATATTACTGTACACTGATTAGGAATAAATCAATTCTCACTCACCCTAACCTTTTGAATGATAGCTGATACAGATCTCATTAATTCACCACATTTGATATTGAACCTGCAAATATGAAGCTTTTTGAGATGCTTTGCAATTTAATCTATTTAAGAGATCTTTGAGGTGTTTATCTGCTTTCAAATATTAGCATGTACATAATTTCATATTGTATGCACATAGACCTACCACATGTTCATTTACTGTGAAGACAATACAATGCTCTGATTTTTGTTCTCCCAGAATGAGTACATGAAGGATGATTTTTTCATCAAGATTGAAACATGGCACAAACCTGATCTTGGAACACTAGAAAATGTGAGTGCATTTGTATGTATTCTGTGTTTTCATTAAAAAAAACATGCTATCTGTGAATTGAATGGGCTCATGAGAGGGAATACCTATTAAACTGGTTAAATCCAGAGGTTGAGAGTCAGTGTAAAATTATGAAATCAGATCAAATTCTATTTTAACTTTATTATTAAGGTGAATGATATAACAGTAGACAAGTTAAACTGTTAGAAATCTTTAAAAAAAAAAAATTGTCACGTTTTCCCAAAGTGTTACAAAGAATGCATTGTGAAGCCTTGCCAGATTAACTCCCGGATTCACAGACAAACTTTAAGCTAGTCCCAGATTAAAATGCATGTTTGAACTAAAAGCAACGTGCACTGCTATATTTTAAAATATGCTCACCTAAAGGATTATTAGGAACATTTTGATTAGATAAACTCTTAGTGTTACAATAAAGATAATTACATCCCTGGACGGATCAACCACACTTTTTTATTGAATGGTTAAAGAGCACAAACAGTATAGCTTTGGAATATTTGTTGTGAGCATTGTTGTACTTATTTTTTTGTGATTATAAATCCTCTAAATTATGAATAACAGGTTCACAAACTGGACAGCTCTAAGTGGAAGTCTGTGGAGGTCACACCTATTGACATTGCAGACAAAGAACAAGTGTCCCCTGGTGTAAGTACCCTGTTCTGCTGAGCTGCTGCATTCAATACAGTTACAAGCTCAAATGAATCTTCCTCTTTGAACACCTATTACATATTTAATCACCAGGGTCCCCATGAGCCAAGAAAACCTAGGATTAACAAGGAGTTTCACAGGTGTATTTTCCATGAAAGGTTGTCAAAACTAATACATTCTGTATAAATGCTTTGTAGATGATGAAATATTGTAGACTACAATGAAACTTGTTGCAAGCCAGCCAGCGTGATAACATCAGTCGGTCTGTTGAGTGTAAAATACATATCAACTGTTGTCAGAACGGTTTCCAGTGGGACACATATTCTTCACTGAGTCACATTCAGATGTCAAGATGTTTTTTTTCTTTATTAGTGTTCAAATGTTTTTAATTAGTCTGATAGATAAAGTACTATAGTGTATTATTTACATGTACTATTCATTTGGCAGATCTTTTTATAAGGGCATCAAAAATAAAAGTTTGTGATTACATAATATATGTGGGTGCACTGTCTAATTATTTTGTATATACATAAATACACACATGCATGTATATTTAAGAAAAAAAAAATTATTTATATAAAAAATATATATTTATATATAATATAAATTATATATAAATCTATGTGTATTTATAGTATATAAGTGCACAGTGCACCCACATATATTATGTAATCACAAACTTTTATTTTGGATGGGATTAATCGCGATTGTTTAACAGCCCTACTTTTTATTCAAAACAGCTTATTGCATTGAAGGTATACAATTTTTCAGTTCATGTATTCGGAAACAAACTCATAACACTGACGTTGCTAGCGGGCTGATTTGTAGATTGTACCCCCCAAAAATGTTCTTTTTTTTTCATATGTCTCATTCGTTTACTATGCAGCAATACCTATTACCACCGTAAAAAATAATCCTGTAAAAAACGGTAAACTACTGGCAGCTGTGGTTGCCAGCATCATACCATAAAAATATGGTGTGTTACCGTTTTTAAAATTAACTGCTAAATACTGTTTTGTCAGCTACAGCTATATGCTGTTAAATTACAGTATATAACAGTAAATTAACTGCATATAGTTGTAGCTGACAAAACGGTATTTAGCTGTTAATTTCAAAAACAGTCACACACTGTATTTTTACAGTGATTCTGGCAACCACAGCTGCCAGTAGTTTACCTTTTTTTTTTTACAGGATTTTTTTTTACCGTGTATGACCTTTTAAAGGAAGATTTAGCCTCTTCCTATTTTGTTTTTCCTAATATTTGTTTGCACATTCACATAGTCAAGTGCAACTAAATTATTCACCAAGTTTTGCACCATTCTGATGAAGTAAAAAAATGAATAAAATAAAAAAAAACTTTTATTTTTATTTTATATATTTATTTATTTATTTATTTTTTACCTTTTCATTACATTTTGTCTGGTCGCTAGCAACCAAAAAAAAAATACCTGAGGTTAAATCCATGTGTCTATTGTGCTCCAAAAAGCCACTTGGTGGTGCTGTAGTGATTGGGTCCATCATCGCTGCTTGCAACTATATTTATTATACTTGTTTTAAGGTTTCAGAGGCTTTGGAAGCCTTTAACATGCTCAAAAACTAGCACACGTAAGTGCCAGATAATCTGACATAATTTTACTGCATGCAAATGTCTTGCAGGATCCCGCAAAGAGCCACAGGGAATTAAAAATGCAAACCATGCCAAAAGCTGTCAAAAATGCTTGTGCTTGAAGCCAGACACTTTTTTTTTTCTTTTTACACACGAGAAGCTTCTGATCTTGTGTTTTCAGTGTCTAGGAACAGCTCAGTCTGCTTTAGTGGTGCTCCACGCAAACTCCATCTCTGCAAGTGCACACCAACCATCATTTCAGATTTGTAAATTATTAATAGTATTGTTGCTGTTGTTGAAATTGTATAGTCATATTGAATGTGTTCATAAACAAATTAGAGGTGAGTTTTTCCAAACATCTTATTTACCAACTGTAAAGCCACATTTTAAAACTGATAAAAAATGATAATTTCTGTGTGTATATATACTTATATAAACAGCAGAAGCTAAATCTAAAGAAAAATGACATAAAAGAATATATATATATATATATATATATATATATGTATTTATAGTCATTTATTATATATATATATATATTTTATAGTCAATATTCTTTAGATTTAGCTTCTGCTGTTTATATTTGTATATATACAATATATATATATATATATATATACACACACAGACACTAGGGCTGTCAAACAATTAAAATAAAGTGGTCAAACATCCAAAATAAAAGTTTGTGTTTACATAATATATGTGGGTGCACTGTGTGTAATTATTTTATTTATATAATATGCACACATGCTTGTATATATTTAAGAAATATTTTCATGTATATACTGTATAGATTTATATATTATTTATATTATATATAAATATAAAAATTTTATATAAATAATATTTTTTTCTTAAATATACATGCATGTGTGTGTATTTATATATATATATATATATATATATATATACAATATATATATACAAATATATATATATATATATATAAAATAATTATACACAGTGCTTCCACATATATTATGAAAATACAAACTTTTATTTTGGATGCGATTAATCGCGATAAATCGTTTGAAGCTAAATCTAAGGTAAGAACATGACATAAAAGAATATATATATATATATATATAGACATACATGTATGTAAATATACACATAGCCTATAAACAGTAGAAGCTAAATCTAAAGAAAATTACATAAAAGAATATATATATATATATTATTGTATGCCATTTTATTACTTTAGATTTAACTTCTAACTAATTTCATTAAGCAAAATTAATGATGTATATGTGAAAGCAAGACCAATTTAACAAGGTCTGCGGTTTCAAAAATCATGCGTAGAGGATGGAAAATAACTGTAACGTAATCCTCCTCTGGCATTGATTAGCTAGTTAAGAGTGTTTGTGTGAGGGGAAGGAGGGATTATGGTCTAATGAAGCAGTTTTCTCTGGTGTCCTGGCTGTCCGTGTCTTTGGGCCCTATCAGACTCTGGCCTCAGGCATGGCTGCAGGCGTTGTGCTGAGAACCGTGACTTGGGTTCGAGTAATTAAGGGCTTGTATAGCCTGGCACACAAACAAACCTCTGCTTTACATGAATTCACACCAAGCATTGTTACCGTATCATCACACTTTGGCCTCCAGACAGCACACTTGGTATTAAACAGGTCGGTTTGTTCTCAGTGTGACAGTGGTGTGTGTGCGCACACACACACACACAAGCCCTCAATGCTTGTTTGCCTCTCTAACTGTACAGAAACTGAGAGGTTGTTATTTTGCCGGAGGCGTATCATGATTTATTTACAATTGCGAGGCCCTGGAGGTCCAGTTAAAATTAAATGCTTTTCGTCCATTTATTTTTTACCAGCAGCTGTTTTTCTCACCATCTCTCCCAGTTTCCACCCTCTCTGGTTTATTAAGTCTATTATTTTTTTGTTCCGTGTTTTTTTTTTTTTTTCTTAACCTCTCCATACCTCACTGCATCTCTCCTTGAAAACTTTTTAATGACTTGGGCTCTATTAGGCATAACCGAAGTCTATAAGGGTGTATCTCAAGTTTTGACGTATACCCTGATGATCTGCATAGTAATGGTTTAAATTTGGCAGTTTCGAAGTGTAAATAAGCTCTTGAAAAGAAAAAGTGCAGCAGCTTTCCAAATGTTATATTGCTTAAGAATGTGAGTATCCACAAAATGAAGCAAGTCTAATTCACAACATTTAAGTATACATTTCAAAGTATTTTTTTTCTGTTAATATGCAGGACTACAAGGTAGATGAGGATCCAGCTATTTTTAAGTCAGTCAAGACCGGCAGAGGACCACTGGGACCCAATTGGATGGTAGGGACCCTTTTCTCACCCTTCATTCTAAACCCATATTTCTTTTTTCATCAATGGAATTAAACATTTTGAAGATTTTTTTCCCCCAAGCAGTTACAATGAATTTTTACTTTAAACCATCATATGCTCTCATGTACTATATACTAAAAGTCTTCTAAAGTCATTCCATATTTTAGTGCGAGGACTGAAGGTTATGTTGGTTTTTACTGATAATTTTCCCTTCTTGTGGCCTGGTAATCTCTGCATCTGGATGGATTTAGCAAACTAAACTCAACAACCAGGGCTGCGTTTCCCCAAATCATCATGAGCTAAGTTGATCATAGAGCCCATTGGTGGAGATGGTTCTATGATGAGTCTGAAAAAAAGAGTAGTTCACTTTAAAAAAAAAAACTTTTGCTGTTTAATTTACCGCCATGTCATCCAAGATGTCCATGTCTTTCTTTCTTCAGTCGAATAGAAAATAAGGTTTTTGATGAAACATTCCAGGATTTTCTCCATATAATGGACTTCAATGGGAACCAAACGGTTCACGCTCCAAATGAGAGTTTCAGTGCAGCTTCAAAGCGCTTTAAACGACACCAGACGATGAATAAGGGTCTTATTTAGGAACCTTCGAGTCATGACTTGAAAAAAGATTTGAAATAGTTCGAACAGGAGAGTCACGAACGTGCATCACAGAACAGAGCAAGGTGAGCATTTGTGCTTATAAAACTAAAACTTTTTTATTTATTTTTGAAATGAGCAATCGTTTTGCTAGATAAGACCCTTATTCATCGTCTGGTGTCGTTTAAAGCCCTTTGAAGCTGCACTGAAACTCATTAGGAGCTTGAACCGTTTGGTTCCCAATGGAGTCCATTATATGGAGAAAATCATGGAATGTTTTCATCAAAAATCTTAATTTCTTTTCGACTGAAGACAGAATGATATGGACATCTTGGATGACATGGCGGTGAGTAAATTATCAGCAAAAGTTCACTTTTTTTTAAAGTGAACTACTCCTTTAAAATAAAGGTTTTTCAGAATGCTATACTGCCCTACAAAGCAAAAAGGCAGTAACTGCAGTTTTGGTAAAGCATTAATTATTACAATTTTCATGACATTCAAGCCAACCTTTGTTATATGACAAAACATCTTATCTTAAATGCATGTCGTTTTAGTGAAAAATGGTAGTCGTTTGTACAGTAACTGCAAAAAGCCCTAGCAAAAGTCATTTTTCTCAGCTCTGCACTCTGCGTAGTTACTGCCTTTTTGCTTTGTAGGGCAGTATAGAAGAACCCTTTTGGCTTCCCGTAAAATTCTTTTAGTGAACAGTTCTTAAAAGAATCATGTTGTTTTTGGTTTGAAGAGCATAATACTAATATAAAGAGCCTTTTTTTGGGGGCTATTTAAAGTTCTATGTGGAACTGTCAATGCCAATAACGAACTAACTAATATCTAACTGTTAATCATTTTCAAACATTTAACCTCTTAACTGTCACCCCCCCTTTTTTGAATAGACATGGAAATGCTCATTTCAAACTTAAATGGTTGTAATTCAAGAATGCTTTGGAATATAGACGTAAGATTTGCTGTATGAGTGTGTATATGCAGATAAATGTGTACATGCGGTAATGTTATATTTATGTATGTTATATTTGTGTATTTTAATTGTATATAAGTTTTAGTACGCTTATGGGCCCCAGGAAGACTAGCAACCACATTGTGGAAGCTAATGGGGATCCAAATAAATAAATAAAATAAATAAATAAATAAATAGACGTAAGATTGGTCTCGTTTTAAAGAAGACATTTGGCAGATTTTTCTCGAAGTGAAATAAATTAGGAAAGTGAAACAGAAAAAAAGTTATAGAAGTTTGAGTTTATAGAAATGTACAATGTAAAAAAAAATATTATTCATATTTTATATAAAATATATATTTTCAAAACCTGGGCTACTCTAAAACTGCAGAAAAATCAAAGCCAAAAATCTGAACAAGTTGTGTTTCAAATTTTAGGTTGATATCTGAAAAAATGAGCTTTCAGTGAGATTTAGTTTGGGCGCAGTACCAAACTTTTTCACTAGGGCACAACCAGACTCCATTACTGCCCATATAAGGGTGTCTCCATTTCCATATGTGTTTTGAGTGATCTGAACCATTATTTTCACAAATTTCACACAATTTATGAAGTAGAAATCCTATTCAAAAGTAGTATGGGTGGTTTGGCAGATTTTGATATGAATTCAACCTCTAGGAATCACATACAAAGCACACGCATGCGCGTTATAGCTTATTGCCATAACACAAATGGTGAATCTATTTTTTTTTTTCGTAATATTTAAAACATCCCTGTGGGACGGTGACAGTAAAGTGGTTAAACCAGGCAGGGTTAACCTTACAGTAGCTCTCAACAATGATTACTGTCAGACTTTCAAAATCATTTATCACTTGAATTAAGATTATGGGTAACACTTTATGGGTAACAGTGTCCTTATTACATGTACTTGAATTTAAACATCAGCACAATGTCAAAATAAAAGTTCAGTAAAAATCTACAGTACTATTTCTACGATGACCTCTGGATAAGTTACCTCTGACAGTGTATTAGTGGAAGTGTTTTGCATTTAAGAGCTAATGAAGATGAATCACTCCGCTTTGATGGACCGTAAAAGGCATCACAGTGATTGGCACAAACTAAGACATGTGTGTGTCCACATGAATATGAATTAGAGATGTCTTCATTCGTGTGTATTGAAGACTAGATTAACCTTCCTATAAGGCTTGTTAGATTATGGCGCTCCTGAAATGTGTTTTTGCTGATTATTCTGGAGATCTTCTAAGAAAACATCTGCATAATGTAGCCATACTGTAATTATTTGATTTTAAGGACCTCTGTACTGTATTAGATTTAATTTATGCATGGTCGACATAGCTTCATTCATTTATGTCTCACAGAACGAACTGGTTAATAACCCTGACTGCCCACGAATGTGTGCTTACAAGCTGGTCACGGTCAAGTTTAAGTGGTGGGGCCTGCAGAACAGGATAGAAAGCTTCCTTCACAAGGTAAGGGTATATGAAGAGTTCAGATGCAAAAGCCTCTAAATGCCATTTGAAATTTTCTTCTTTAATGATGATTTTTATCAAACTTGTATATTTAAGTTCAGTAATTTCACTTAAATAACAATTAATAGGTAATTAGCATTGCCATTTAAGTGAAATGACTGAACTTAAATATACAAGCTTGATAAAAATGATCATTCTAGAAGAAAATTTCAAATGGCACTTAGAGGCTTTTGCATCTGAACTCTTCATATATATATATATTAGAAGTGGTTTTAATTTAACTCCATCTAAAGTGAATTTTTATAGTTTATTAGTAATAAAACTGCTGAATTTCGCCTTTCACCTACTGAGATACGCATGTGTTAAGTGATTTGGTTACATTTTATTTTAAGGTGACGTCATTACATTACTCTGAGTAATAATTATATATCAAATAACTTAACTACATGGACTTACTATTGAGTTATGGTTAGGTTTGGTTTAGGGTTAGTCACTTGGTAATGTTGCATAATTTACTGTTATTACTAGTACATGTAAGTACACGTCACCTTAAAATAAAATGTTACCAATAATTTTAACATTTTAATGTTGAGATTCCTACTTTATATTTTGCTATGTAATAAATTTACTGTGTGTCTGGATAGGGTTATAATTCTGTGGAGTGGTTTGTGATTTATGTGCTTTGTTTTGGGGTCATTTACTAAGCAAGAGAAGAGAATCTTCACCAACTTCCACCGGCAGCTGTTCTGCTGGATTGATAAGTGGGTAGAGCTCAACATGGAGGACATCAGACGGATGGAAGAGGAGACACAGAAAGAGCTGGAGGAGGTGCGTACACTCATACACATTAGAGCCAGACTGATATATCGGCAGGCCGATATTATCGGCCGATATTAGGCATTTTCCAAACTATCGGTATCGGCAGTTATAATGGCCGATAAATGAATATTTCAAAAATAAAATATAAACGGATGAAACACACTTGAACCATGTCATGAGTGTTGTGTAGTTTGTCCACCAGAGGGCACTCTAAACCATTCCTGTTGGCAACACTCGTTGAGTTGGGCACGATACATACATTGCTTGAATAACAATTAAAAGAACATCCCCTTCAGTTCTCTTAACTCTAATAAGCTTGACAAAATTTGTGGCCGGCGGAAGTTTCATTGGCCAGTTATATTGAAAATGTATGTTTTACAATTTGCAGTATGACGTTATCCATTGTTAAATTATGGTTCATCATAGACTAGCTAACCATAAAGCTAGCTAATGCCACTATCATCAGTCTGTTCTGTTGTGGCAATAAAATAAACTTTTCGAAAGTTTCTTTTTAAAATGCATTATCATATTATTTTGGTTAAAACTCATAAATAACTACCGATAACTAATGTTAGGGAAATCTGTTAATGTTTTGTTGTGCCTTTCTGAAAAAAAAAAAAAAAAAAAAATCGGCCGATATATCGGCATATCGGATTTTAAAATCAAAAAATATGTCTATCGGTATCGGCCTTCAAAATCCTTTATCGGTCGGGCTCTAATACACATTACACAGATTGTGCTGAATCTGTAGTCAAACCCCAACTTAGCTGTCAGGAAGAAAAGCACTTGTTAGTGTGAACTAACTAACCCCCTGTTTTAGGGGATACTGTATTTTCTTTCATGGTTTATAACTTTTGTAGGGATATACTGTACAATTCATGCCATACTTAGCTATTCCATTTTTTTAAACAAAGATAATAATTTAATATTATTAAACATAATATTAAAGGGGTCATGACATGGATTATCAACTTGACAAAATTGTCTTTTTTTATGCATATGTAAACAGTTATTCTGAAAACAACAAAACAAACTGTAACTAGTCTATTAGTTAGTTTTTTGAACACATTTGCAAACTGTAACCCATGGCTTTGAATCCGCAGTGTTGAGGAAAGTTACTTGTAAAAGTAATGCATTACAATATTGCATTAATGAATATTTACTCCAGTACAGTAGAGGGCGCCGCTCAAACAAACAGCCATTCTGGATTAAAGAACAATAGGATACAGGCGAAGAAAGTTCAACACTCTGATTTCTAAATCTAATCTAAAGTCACTTTTGCTTATTAGTATTGTTGAATTAGATCATTGAAGGTCAGCAGCAAAGGCACTGGTTAAAAAAGTGAGATTAAATACATAAAGTATATTTGTGCAATTTAATATAGTTAATTATATAAGTTTTGCATAAAAACATTTTACTCATTTTAGTCATTTTTGAGGAATACTGAATGTTTTCGTGCCAGAGAGATGAATAAATGCATGTTCATGTTTAGTTTTGAACTAAAATAGCCTAAGCATAATCATGTTTACATACACACACACACACCTCCTAACTTTAATTCTCTCAACATGAGGTCAAGTCAATAAATGTGAAAAAGTAACAGATATTTTGTTGTAAATTGAAAAAGTAATGCTTGCTTTACTAGTTAGTTTAAAAAGTAATCTGATTACGTAACTCAAGTTACTTGTAATGAGTTTTCCCCAACACTGCGTATGACGCTATTAAAAAGCCAGATTTTGTGCACTGGCCCATAATCGTTTGCCTAGAGACCACCCACCCTTCAGTATGAATCCAGACAGAACAAAATATCATTGTCTCATAGTACTTCCAGTCCTAGAGTGCTTGCAGATTTTCTTTGGAGTGCAGTCCAAATACTGTTCTTCTGCCATCCACTGACGAATAATGGCTAGAAGAAAGCAGAGGGGAGGGGGATAGAAAAGAATTTGGAAACAAAGGATGCGATGAAATTGAGCAGATGGAGGCATTTGGAGATGTCCAAATAATTGACCGACTCTGTTTTGAATTTCAGATTAGTTAATATTCTGATATATATTGCAAATTCATTTATTTATTCAAATTTATGTATGCAGTGTTTATAAATGTATTCAGAACAATCTATTGTTGGGTCATTCTAAAATTGATGGCACATGCTGTCACTCGCTTTAAAAATGGCAACAAGTTAAACAATGTGCACAATTCCTTTAGAAACTATTTGTTTTAAAACTATGTACGAAAACTATATATGATCTTATTAAAATGTACAATTATACCTCGAAAGTCTCCTAGCTATTCCACATAATGAAGAAGTCTATAAAATAGGGTTGTAAGAGGTGTGTGTTTAGACATTGATCAGCATTTAATATTCATATATAAGCACAATTACATATTTCAGATTATTTACTTCAAAGTGGCCTAAACTCTGCATATCTTTTAATGATGTTACATTATGTCATTTACTGTCAGATGTAGATCTGGGTTGCACTTCCCAAAGGCATCGTTAGCCAACTATTCATTTAAGTTAATTTGTACGAAAGAGGATTTGGGCCAAGCAATAATAAAAAAAATAAAACCATCTCGAGATTAAAGTCATTATAATGCGAGATTAAACTCGTTAAATTTCGAGAAAAAAGTCGAAATACAATCTTGAGAATAAACTCATTAAATATCGAGAATAAAGTCGTTGTGTTTGAGAAAAAAACTCGTTAAATTTGGAAATACAATCTTGAAATACAAAGTCGAAATACAATCTTGAAATACAAAGTCGAAATAAAATCTTGAGAATAAACTCATTAAATATCGAGAAAAAAGTCGTGTTTAGAGAAAAAAATTGTTACATTTTGAGAAAAAAGTCGAAATACAATCTTGAAAATAAACTCATTAAATATTGAGAATGAAGTCGTTGTTTCGAGAAAAAAATCGTTGAATTTCAAGAAAAAAATCTAAATACAATCTTGAGAATAAACTCATTAAATATTGAGAATGAAGTCGTTGTTTCGAGAAAAAAATCGTTGAATTTCAAGAAAAAAATCGAAATACAATCTTGAGAATAAACCATAAACTCATTAAATATCGAGAATAAAGTCGTGTTTCGAGAAAAAAATCATTAAATTTCAAGAAAAAAGTCGAAATACAATCTTGAGAATAAACTCATTAAATATTGAGAATGAAGTCGTTGTTTTGAGAAAAAAATCGTTGAATTTCAAGAAAAAAAATCGAAATACAATCTTGAGAATAAACTCATTAAATATTGAGAATGAAGTCGTTGTTTCGAGAAAAAAAATCGTTAAATTTCAAGAAAAAAAATCGAAATACAATCTTGAGAATAAACCATAAACTCATTAAATATCGAGAATAAAGTCGTGTTTCGAGAAAAAAATCATTAAATTTCAAGAAAAAAGTCGAAATACAATCTTGAGAATAAACTCATTAAATATTGAGAATGAAGTCGTTGTTTTGAGAAAAAAATCGTTGAATTTCAAGAAAAAAAATCGAAATACAATCTTGAGAATAAACCATAAACTCATTAAATATTGAGAATGAAGTCGTTGTTTCGAGAAAAAAAATCGTTGAATTTCAAGAAAAAAAAAATCAAAATACAATCTTGAGAATAAACCATAAACTCATTAAATATCGAGAATAAAGTCGTGTTTCGAGAAAAAAATCATTAAATTTCAAGAAAAAATGTCGAAATACAATCTTGAGAATAAACTCATTAATTATTGAGAATGAAGTCGTTGTTTCGAGAAAAAAATCGTTGAATTTCAAGAAAAAAAATCGAAATACAATCTTGAGAATAAACTCAAAATATTCAAAATAGTTGACAAAATAGTCTTAATTTTTCTAATATATGTAAACAGTTTTTCTGAAAAACTAATTTCATCTAAAGATTTTTAAATTCACTCCAGCATATCAAAAAGACCCTGTAACTATTAGTGCATTAGTTAGTCTTTTGAACACATTTGCAAACTGTAACCCTTGGCAGAATTTATCGAGAATAAAGTTGTTGTGTTTTGAGAAAAAGCTTGTTAAATTTCGAGGAAAAAAAAGTCAAAAAACAATCTTGAGAATAAATTAATTCAATTTCGAGAATAAAGTTATTGTGTTTCGAGAAAAAATAGTTAAATATTGAGGAAAAAAGTCATAATACAATCTTGAGAATAAACTATAAACTCATTAAATATCGAGAATAAAGTCATTGTGTTTCGAGAAAAAAAATCATTAAATTTCAAGAACAAATGTCGAAATACAATCTTGAGAATAAACTCATTAAATATCGTGAATAAAGTTGTTGTGTTTCAAGAAAAAAATCGTTAAATTTCAAGAAAAAAAGTCAAAATACAAATCTTGAGAATAAACTTAAAATAGTCAAAATAGTTGACAAAATAGTCTTAATTTTTCTAATGTATGTAAACAGTTTTTCTGAAAAACTAATTTCATCTAAAGATTTTTAAATTCACTCCAGCATGTCAAAAAAAAAAAAAAAAAACTGTAACTATTAGTGCATTAGTTAGTCTTTTGAACACATTTGCAAACTGTAACCCTTGGCTGAATTTATCGAGAATAAAGTTGTTGTGTTTTGAGAAAAAGCTTGTTAAATTTGAGGAAAAAAAAGTCAAAAAACAATCTTGAGAATAAATTAATTCAATTTCGAGAATAAAGTTATTGTGTTTCGAGAAAAAAATAGTTAAATATTGAGGAAAAAAGTCATAATACAATCTTGAGAATAAACAATAAACTCATTAAATATCGAGAATAAAGTCATTGTGTTTCGAGAAAAAAAATCATTAAATTTCAAGAACAAATGTCGAAATACAATCTTGAGAATAAACTCATTAAATATCGAGAATAAAGTCGTTGTGTTTCAAGAAAAAAAATCGTTAAATTTCAAGAAAAAAAGTCAAAATACAATCTTGAGAATAAACTTAAAATAGTCAAAATAGTCTTAATTTTTCTAATGTATGTAAACAGTTTTTCTGAAAAACTAATTTCATCTAAAGATTTTTAAATTC